GTGTGGATGACCTCATGTCAGCAGACATTTTGAAAAGGCAAAAAAAAGGAAGTTCCACTTCCTGCAGTACATCGTTAATCCACTAGAGGGCAGAATACAGGTCTCACATTATACACAACAGGTTTTTGAGGAAAATATTGATCACATTGATAAAATATAGGTCACAGAATCCTGCGTAGCAAATATGATACTTAGAATGTTTTCATTGCAACCTCATCCTTTTCCCGAAAAACACGAGGTTGGCTCGTTTGGCACATTTGWGATCATTTCTATCTATGAAATGGTGACTTTGACCTTTGAGTCCCCGCTRTGCAAACATAAACTGCAGAACAAGAGAAAAGAGTGAGATGAGGGGAACCGACTTTACATAAAAAGCTTTTGGTTTGGCCGTGTGTTGTTGTACACGCAGTGTGATCCTCCCTGCAGCCAAACTGCTCTGATGAAGCAGCAGACAGGACGCCTGCAGGCCGCAGCAGTCTTTACAGACAAACACACAACTGGATCCATAATGTTGGGGCCTGAGGAGCTCATCGGGGAGCTGCTGCGTCCTATTTGCTGGGATGCTGAGCTCATTTTGGAGAGCACTTCATTCTCTGTGCCCTGTGGGATCTTGGCCACAGGCTGAAATACAGTACAATCTGTAAAATCTGGTTTTCATCAGACACAGTAATAGCCTCTCTGTGTTATGTCTGCACGATCCTAATGTATCACATCTCATTTATCTCACCCTATCAGCTGGAATGTCTGCAAACGGCAGGAGAAGATGCAATACGTGTCTTATTTTTGGCCACATTAAGTCAAATGGTTGCACACATCAGACGTCTGCTGGTGGAAGTTATTACCAGCTCTCCTGTTTCCTCTGTCTAAACCTGCCTGTTAGAGCTTTCAGGCAATCCTTTTTTCATGTGCAACAGTTGAGTTTAGTCCTGAAATTACAATATATATTTAAACATTTGAGACAATAAAACAAAAATGTGAAATACCTTTAAAAATTGCTGCCCAATGCATTTTGGCCACAGTCATTACAAAGTCGTGAGGACCAGGCAAGAAGAAATTCACAACCAAATCTGTAAAAATTTCTTTTTTTGTTGGATTTTTAAAAAAATCTAAATTAAAACTGTTTGGCTAATTTGTGTCAGTCTGATAGGTCAACAATAGTGATGTCATTAAAATAGATTTGGGGGGCTAGTTTTGTTTTTTCCTTCTTTTTTTGGCATTCAGTGGCAGTTTTACTCGTATCTTTCATCTTCATCAACAATTAAATTACAAAAAGGAGAAATTTACTTCATGCTTTACAATTTAATTGACCTTCATATTTAGTTCCAATAAATGGTATATTTTTGCACATAATAAAAA